GTGGCCAGCTCAGCCCACCGGAGCTGGCTGGCATGTGGTGCTGGGGGATCGAACCGCGGTCCCTGTGCTTTGCCAAGCTTGTTCCAAGTAGGTGCCCTAGACCACTGAACCATCTCTCCAGCCCAAAAACCCGAATTCTAAGTAAAGAGCAAATTCTTTCCTTTTGCTGTGGCGGCCACAGCCATGAGTATGCTCAGGCTGCGGAAGAGGCTGGCCTCCAGCATCCTCCGCTGCGGCAAAAAGAAGTCTGGTTGGGCCCCAGTGAGACCAATGAAATCGCTAATGCCAGTTCCCGTCACAGATCCGGAAGTTGATCAAAGATGGGCTGATCATCCGCAAGCCTGTGACCGTGCATTCTCGGGAGCGATGGCGGAAGAACACCTTGGCTCGCCGGGAAGGAAGGGCAGGCACACGGGCATCGGTAAGCAGAAGGGTACAGCCAACGGCCGGAAAAAATAAAAGATAAGTTGACCTGAATGTGCAGAATGTGGATCCTGCGCAGGGGGCTCCGGAGATACCGGAAATCCAAGATCAAGCGGCACATGTACCACACCCTGTACCTGAAGGTGAAGGGGCATGTGGTCAAGAGCAAGTGGGTCCTCCTGGAGCACATGCACAAGCTGAAAGCGGACAAGGCCCACCAAAAGCTCCTGGCTGCCCAGGCCGAGGCTCGCAGGTCGGAGACCAAGGAAGCGCACAAGTGCCGAGAGGAGCGCCCGCAAGCCAAGAAGGAAGAGACCAAGAGCCTGACCAAGGAGGAGGAGACGAAGAAGTAGTGCCCTGTGTGTACCGAGAGCAGACAGGTCCCAAATAAAAGAGCTCTTGTCCATTCAAAAACAAAACAAAACACCAAAACAAACACACAAAAGAACCCCAAAACAAAAAAAACCCTAAAGAGCAAAAATAAAAGATAAGAGACTGGGTGTGGTGGTGCACACCAGAAATCTCAGTGTTTGGGAGGCTGTAAACAGGAGGATCACTATGAGTCTGATCTGTGTAGTGAGACCCTGTACTAATTACA